TACTTAATGGATGTACTTTGTCCATGTAAAATCGTTTCAAGATTTTTCTCAGTATAGGCAGATTGATGGATGAAGACCCCCGTCTACTAAATATTCTATTTGTAGTCCAAGACAAATTTTTGTCTTTCCAAGGTCTTTCATCTCAAATTCTTTCTTTAGATATTCAATTGCCTTTTGAACCTCTTTTGGAGTTCCAATGAGATTAATGTCATCAACATAAACAGCAAGAATAACAAACCCCAATGTTGTTTTCTTAATAAATATACAAGGACAAATGGCATCGTTTATATAACCTTGTTTTATCAAGTACTCACTAAGGCGATTATACCACATACGCCCTGATTGCTTTAAGCCATATAATGACTTTTGTAATCTGATTGAATATATTTCCCGAGATTTTGAACTATATGCTTCAGGCATTTTAAGTCCTTCCGGAACTTTCATATAAATTTCATTATCAAGTGAACCGTAAATGTAAGCTGTAATCACATCCATTAGGTGAATTTCAAGATTTTCATGTACAGCTAAGCCGATGAGATATCGAAAAGTTATTGCATCCATAACAGGTGAATATGTTTCTTCATAGTCGACACCGGGTCGTTGAGAGAATCCTTGTGCAACAAGGCGTGCCTTGTATCTTACAATCTCATTTCTCTCATTTCTTTTTCGTACAAAGACCCATTTATAGCCAATTGATTTAACATCACTAGGCGTTTGGACTATTGGTCCAAAAACCTCACGCTTAGCTAGTGAATTTAATTCTGATTGAATTGCTTCTTGCCATTTTGGCTAGTCACATCTTTGTCGACATTCTTCAACAGATAGAGGTTCAAGATCCTCATTTCCTTTCATAATGTTAAGTGCAACATCATATGCGAAAACATTTTCCACTATGATTTTTGATCGATCTAAACTTATCCCATCACCTGTAGAACTTATTGAGAGTTCTTCATTTACTTGAGTCTCGGGTTCACTGATCTCTTCAGGAATATCAAGATTAATCATATCTTGAATTTCTGCGTGAAATTCTTTTCTAGTGTCATTTTTTGTACTTCTTTTTCTAGGATTTTTATCTTTTGAACCCAATGGTCTACCACGCTCCAGGCATATTTGTGATTTAGAAGTTACGACACTTGTAGATGGTCCTTTTGGGACGTCGATTCGGATAGGCACATTAACTGTAGGAATATGCGACTTTGTTATCCTTTTTGAATCAGTAAATGCGTCTAGCATTTGATTTGCTATGTTTTGCTAATGGATGATCTTCTGGACCTCTTGCTCACACACAGGGGAGCGTGGATCCAAATAAGATAATGATGAAACTTTCCATGCAATTTCACTATTAAGTTTCTTTTTCTCTCCCCCTAATTGCGGAAAATTTGTTTCATCAAATCGACAATCTGCAAATCTTGCAGTGAATAAATCTCCCGTCAATGGCTCAAGGTAGCGAATTATGGAGAGTGAATCAAACCCAACATATATGCCTAACCTTCTTTGAGGGCCCATCTTGGTGCGCTGAGGTGGTGCTACATGCACATATACAACACATCCAAAAATTCGAAGATGAGCAATATTTGGTTCATGGCCAAACACTAATTGTGATGGGGAGTATTTATGATAATGAGTCGGTCTGAGACGAACAAGTGATGTTGCATGTAAGATAGCATGACCCCAAACAGTAGTAGGCAACTCACTTTTCATAAGTAGAGGTCTTGCTATTAATTGTAAGCGCTTAATAAATGACTCAGCAAAGGCATTTTGAGTATGAACATGAGCTACAAGATGTTCAACTTTTATCCCTACCGATACACAATAAGCATCAAAAGCTTGGGATGTGAATTCGCCAGCATTATCGAGGCGAATAGTCTTAATGGGATAATCTGAAAATTGCACTCTTAATCATATTATTTGTGCCAATAATTTTGCAAACGCTAGGTTGCGAGATGATAAGAGGCACACATGAGACCATCTTGAAGATGCGTCTATTAGGACCATAAAATATCTAAACGACCCACTAGATGGGTGAATAGGTCCACAAATATCCCCATGTATTCGTTCTAAAAATTGAAGGGATTCAATGTTAACCTTCATTGGTGATGGCCTAGTAATCAATTTGCCTTGGCAACAAGCAGCACACGAAAACTCATCATTTGTAAGAATCTTCAGGTTCTTTAATGGATGTCCATTTGAGTTTTCAATGATTCGTCTCATCATTATTGATCCAGGATGACCTATTC